CTCAACCCACCTGAAGTGCAAAAGATAGTGGTGGAGCACATTGTGAGGAATGAAGACAGGTCTTCACAGTCTCACTCTACCCTGAGACTGAGAGGTTTCTCTGGGAAGATCCCTCGACCATACAGTGAGGTTGATTATGACACTTGGAGGTCCCATGTTGATTTGATGATGAAAGATGGTTCTGTCTCTGACCTTGATAAAACTCGTAAAATCCTCGAAAGTCTTCTTGTTCCAGCTTCAGATGTCATCAAGCATCTTGGCTCTGAAGCGCCCCCTACAGCCTACTTGCAATTGTTAGACTCTGCATTTGCCACGGTTGAAGATGGGGAAGAACTGTTTGTGCGGTTCATGAGCACATTCCAGGATTCTGGAGAAAGACCATCTACATACCTGCAGCGTCTCCAGGTTGCCCTAGGTAACGCGGTGCGCAGAGGGGGTGTCCCAGCACAAGATGGAGACAAAAACCTACTCCGACAGTTTTGCAGGGGCTGTTGGGATAACGTCCTGCTTGCTGACCTTCACCTAGAGCACAAAAAACAGAACCCTCCATCATTTGCTGAGCTCTTAAAGCTTGTACGTACTGAAGAGGGTAGACAAGAAGCCAAGATCATGAGAATGAAACAACACTTGGGTACCGCGAAACAGAAAGCTGCGTCCCACGTGCAGACTGTGTGTGACTGCAGCGAGACCCAAGACGAGTCTGATGCAAAGAGCATACATGAGCTAAGGAAACAGGTTGCAGACCTGAAAAGTCAGCTAACATCCCTCATGAAAAAGAAAAAGACAGCATCTCCCAAACAAGAAAAAGTTAAGGTGACAGAAACACAAAAACCTGACCATGCAATCACAGAAACCAACCTACCCAAATACGAGTGCAAAATCCAAGCCAAAGCCTTGGTACTGTTTTCGCTGTGGGGAGGATGGGCACATCGTCGCCACCTGTGAGTCAGATGCCAACCCTGCCCTGGTAGCAGTGAAAAGAAAAGAACTGAGACAACGGCAGCAGCTATGGGAGACACAGAACACCTCGTCTTTTCCTTTAAACTGAGCTCAGTTCTTGTTGCGGGACAGACAAGAACTGAGACTGGTCAGCCAGGTCCCACTGAACCCAAACCAAAAGTCAAGCAACGTGCTATGCTAAAGCAGTCTCACACAAGAGCTCAACCCTTCAAGCTACCTAAAGGGTTGGTAGGTACAAAGAGCACAGCATGGGTAGGAGTGGCAGGAAGCCCCACAGCATCTCTGTTGGACACGGGCTCCCAGGTCACCACAGTCCCTCAGTCGTTCTATCAGCAACACCTTTCTGAACATGAAATCAAGCCACTGTACGACTTACTAGAAGTTCTAGGAGCCAATGGCCAGTGTGTACCCTACCTGGGATACATTGAACTGAACATCACTTTTCCAAAGGAGTTTCTAGGGGTGGAATTTGAGGTGCCAACACTCGCTTTTGTGGTCCCAGATGTTCATGCTGCTTCTGATTCCCTCATACTGATAGGTACTAACACACTTGACGTGCTGTACGAAATGTACATTGAATCTGCTTCTGAAACACAGCAACCAACAGCTCAAGGCTACAAGGCCGTTCTCAAAGTTCTTGAGCTGCGGCACAGGCAAAGTCAGGATGGAAACCTTGGGCTGGTGAAGTTGCATTGCAAGGGCGCCCAGTTGGTTCCAGCAGGCCAAACCGTAGTCTTGGAAGGCTGTGTTGCAGTCAGTAGGTTCGCTAATGAGAAGTCAGTGGTTCTGGATCACCCTTCCTCATCTTCGTTGCCAGGTGGTCTGCTGGTGAAACCCTGTCTTGTTGATTTGCCAACTAAACAGCCACACAAAGTCCCAGTAGTACTTACCAATGAATCAGACCACGATGTTATCGTTCCTCAGCAGTGTATTATTGGTGAGATCAGTGCTTTTCAGAGAGTTTTCTCAAAAGAACAAGGTGAATCTACCCCGAGACCAGACTCACCCCAGAAGTCCGACATCACAATAAACTTTAGTGACTCTCCTATCCCTGCCAAATGGAAAGAGCACATCACAGAGAGACTGAACAGTATGCCGGAGGTGTTTGCACAGAATGACCTCGATTTCGGCAGAACCAACAAAGTCAAGCACCAGATAAAGCTCTCTGATGAGACCCCATTCAAACACAGAGCCCGCCCCATACATCCCTATGACTTGGAAGCCGTCCGTAAACATCTGCAGGAACTGCTTCAAGCTGGAGTGATCAGAGAATCTGACTCCTCATTTTCTTCACCTATAGTTGTAGTGAGGAAGAAGAACGGAGATGTCCGTCTCTGTATCGATTATAGGAAACTCAATCTCCAGACTGTGAAGGATGCTTACGCACTCCCAAACCTGGAAGAAGCTTTCTCTACGCTCACCGGATCAAAGTGGTTCTCAGTCCTTGACCTAAAATCCGGTTACTATCAGATAGAAGTCGAGGAAGCGGACAAACCCAAAACTGCCTTTGTGTGTCCCATGGGGTTTTGGGAATTTAACCGGATGCCTCAAGGTGTCACAAACGCTCCGAGCACGTTCCAGCGTCTAATGGAGAGATGTATGGGGGATATGAATCTCAAGGAGGTCCTTGTGTTTCTCGATGACATCATTGTTTTTTCCAAGACGTTGGAAGAGCATGAAGTGAGGCTGATGAAGGTTTTGACACGGCTACGAGAGTTCGGCCTTAAGCTCTCGCCGGACAAATGCAAGTTTTTCCAAACATCGGTCAAGTATTTGGGGCATATAGTGTCTCAAGACGGAGTGGGAACCGACCCCGGAAAAGTGGAAGCCCTAAAACAGTGGCCCAGACCTCAAGACCTGAAACAGCTAAGGTCTTTTCTTGGGTTTTCGGGTTACTACAGAATTTTCATAAAAGACTATTCCACTGACCTGACATCGGGCTATCCTCCACTACACAAGAACACCAAACACAAGGCACAGACTTACCAATACCACGACCCAAAGAAGCCATTTGGTGCTCGCTGGACTGATCGCTGTGAGCTAGCATTCAACACCATCATTGAGAAGCTCACTACAGCTCCTGTTCTTGGGTTTGCTGATCCCAGGGTGCCTTACGTCCTCCACACAGATGCCAGTACCACAGGCCTTGGAGCAGCCTTATACCAAGAGCAAGATGGTCACATGCGAGTGATCGCATATGCTAGCAGGGGCCTGTCATGCAGTGAGTCAAGATACCCAGCACACAAGCTAGAATTCCTGGCTTTAAAATGGGCTGTCGTCGAGAAATTTTGTGATTACCTGTATGGTAACCAATTCACCGTTGTAACCGACAGCAACCCCCTAACGTACGTCCTTACCAGTGCCAAACTGGATGCCACCAGTTACAGATGGCTGGCAGCCCTCTCAACATTCACCTTCACACTCCAGTACAGGCCAGGTAAACTGAACAGTGATGCGGACGGTCTTTCTAGGAGGCCACATGGAGAGCCTTCAAATGACCTGAAGTCCCAGAAAGAACAGGAGCGCATCAATCAGTTCACACGAACACACTTGGCTGACCTTGAGGGTAGTGTGAGCCACAACCTCGTGCGCGCCATCTGTGAGAGGCATCTTGTCTGTGGCACACCAGATGATTGTGGCAACAGCGATGGAGGCATGGCGCTGGTGCAGTCTCTGGCAACCTCTCCTAAAGTCCTGCCGGATAGTTTCGTGGACGAGCATGGTAGCTTATCTGGTCTTCCTCATCTGTCGGAGGTTGAAATGAGAGATTTGCAGCGAGCAGACTCCTGTCTCAGAGAGGTAATAGCTCAAATTGAAAGTGGAGAAAAGCTACCTCCAACAGTCAGAAGAGAACTTCCTGACGTTCCTTTCCTTCTAAGGGAGTGGAATCGTCTTGAAATGAAAAATGAAGTGTTGTACAGAAGACGGCAAGACAGTGGCAAAGTCACATATCAACTTGTCTTACCTGAGAAGCTCCGGGCAGTTGTTCTTAAGAGTCTTCATGATGAAATGGGTCACTTAGGTACTGAACGTACCTTGGATTTGGTGCGGACCAGATTTTTCTGGCCAAAGATGGCGGCTGATGTGGAAAGAAAAATAAGATCTGCGAATGGTGCATCCGCAGAAAAGCACAGCCAGAAAAGGCAGCACCGCTGGTGAATATAGAATCCACCAGGCCCTTAGAGCTTGTTTGTATGGATTTCTTGACTGTAGAGCCTGACAGAAGCAATGCAAAGGATATTCTGGTGATCACGGATCATTTTACGAAGTATTCAGTTGCCATACCAACGCCAAATCAGAAAGCTCAGACCGTTGCCAGGTGCCTTTGGGACAACTTCATGGTCCATTATGGAATCCCAGAGCGATTGCACAGCGACCAAGGACCTGACTTTGAGTCACGGACAATCAAAGAGCTCTGCAAAATCACTGGAATCCGTAAAATCCGTACAACACCCTATCATCCCAGAGGGAATCCAGTCGAACGTTTTAATAGAACGTTGCTGAGCATGTTGGGAACACTTGACAACAAAGACAAATCACGGTGGCGGAACTTTGTGAAACCTTTAGTACATGCGTACAACTGTACGAAGAATGATGTAACAGGGTTCACACCCTATGAACTCATGTTCGGTCGTCAACCGAGGCTACCTGTTGATCTAGCCTTCGGGTTACCCTTTAGAGATGGTGAGTACAAGTCTCACTCACAGTACGTTCAGAGACTCAAGTCTCATCTGGAAGAGAGTTACAAGATTGCCACCCAGAACGCAGCTAAGACAGCAGCGAGGAACAAGGCAAGATTCGACAGCCATGTCACTGCTTCTAAATTGGAGGCGGGCGACAGGGTGTTAGTGAGAGCTGTTCGTCTACAAGGCAAACACAAGCTTGCCGATAAGTGGGAGACAGATGTCTATGTGGTGGTGAAGCAAGCTGGAGATCTCCCAGTTTATACCCTTAGACCAGAGAACAAGGATGGCCCCTTGCGAACCCTTCACAGAGACCTCATGCTTCCCTGTGGTTCTCTTCCACTGAGTGTCAAAAAGCTGGACTTGCCAAGACCACGCAGGCCACAGACACGAAAGTCTATTGAACAACCTGATGATGTAAACGATCAGTGCGACTCTGAGGATGACATTCCATACGAGTGGTTCAGAGAGCAGCCTGAGACAGAAATTGCAAGATTCACGACTGTCCATGAAGTCCCTAGACCAAACTTCACAGCCCCTTCCTCAAAGAAAGACGGGAGGAACCTATCTGAACAACGCTTACCTGTCGATACTCCAGTTGGTGAGGAACACTTACCTGATATCCCATGTAGCGACTCCCATAGCAATGAAGCAGGAAATTTCCCTGAAGTTCTGCCCACTTCTCCAGAATCTCGCACAGAATCTGAAAATGAAGTACAGTTTAAAGGACCATCAAGTGAATACTTACCTGCCCATGTCACTGAATCCACCAGAGATGTTCCTGCTGAAAAGGATGTCCCTGTTAGATGAACAGAAAGAGAGATTAACAATGATTCAGAAGTTTCTAGTGATGTTGTACGACGTTCAACCAGAAGCAGAGAGAAGCCTGATCGGTTTCAGTATTCACGCCTCGGCAGTCCACTGGTGTCTATCGTTCAATCTCTATTTCAAGGCCTGAACACCGCTCTTACGGATGAACTATTGGCAGCTGAACAGACTAAACTGAACTCATCCTTCAACATGTTACCGGACTGCAGTTCCCATGCACAGGGATGTGCATAGATTCAAGAGGGGAGGGTGTAACCCAGGTTAAAAATCTATATTGAAAATAGTTCATTGTGTATTCAAATCCAAGATGTTGAATATAGAGACTGTTAAATTCATAGTGGAAAATCAATTCATTGAATATGATGCTTGTTAGCCGATTAAAAGAAACATGTTCACTTAAAAGGAGAAATTTAACGGTAACAGAAAAGTCATGGATTTGTAATTTGAAAAAGCGGTCTTTCATCCAATCAGAAGAGAAGCTCCCACCGACTGACCCGATCGCGCGGGTTCACTTCCTCTGAAGCCGCTATGAGAACGAGAGCAAGCCAGATTGAGCACGAGACGAGTCAGGACACAATTTCGGATGGTAAAACAATTAAAAACCTGGATAAAACTGAGAGAAAGTTGTAGGAAAAATTCCCCCGGCCGACCTGGACCTGTGTGAGCGCAGTGAGAGAAGCCGTACGGGAGGAGAAACGCATCGGTGAGCGACCAGTTTGAGATGCTAAACTGTAAAAGCTAACGGCGACACGTAGCGTACGAGCTAATGTCGGAGCGCTAGCTCCGAGTGCTATTTAACATTGGGGTAGACACACTTAGTCCTTGAGCCAAGAACCAAAATTTCACATATCGGTACCACCTGGGTGGGCAAATTCTAGTTGTGATTTTTTTATTGCTATACATCCCTACAATAAGTTTTTATATGATAGACCTTGGTAACTGGTAGCTTGATTGTAGTTATCACTCATTGAAGTAATAGAGTGCAGCTGTTCAAAAATGAAAAATCGCCTTCCTTCAAAATTAGCTTTCTTTCATTTTAACCTCTCATTAAGGTGTGTTTGAACTATTGGCTAGCCATAGAGACTTGTAATAACCCCCTAAGTAGTATTTCAAGTAATTTATCTAATACAGGTGTGTATATACACTCACCGGCCACTTTATTAGGTACACCTGTCCAACTGCTCGTTAACACTTAATTTCTAATCAGCCAATCACATGGCGGCAACTTAGTGCATTTAGGCATGTAGACATGGTCAAGACAATCTCCTGCAGTTCAAACCGAGCATCAGTATGGGGAAGAAAGGTGATTTGAGTGACTTTGAACGTGGCATGGTTGTTGGTGCCAGAAGGGCTGGTCTGAGTATTTCAGAAACTGCTGATCTACCGGGATTTTCACGCACAACCATCTCTAGGGTTTACAGAGAATGGTCCGAAAAAGAAAAAATATCCAGTGAGCGGCAGTTCTGTGGGTGGAAATGCCTTGTTGATGCCAGAGGTCAGAGGAGAATGGCCAGACTGGTTCGAGCTGATAGAAAGGCAACAGTGACTCAAATAACCACCCGTTACAACCAAGGTAGGCAGAAGAGCATCTCTGAACGCACAGTACGTCGAACTTTGAGGCAGATGGGCTACAGCAGCAGAAGACCACACCGGGTGCCACTCCTTTCAGCTAAGAACAGGAAACTGAGGCTACAATTTGCACAAGCTCATCGAAATTGGACAATAGAAGATTGGAAAAACGTTGCCTGGTCTGATGAGTCTCGATTTCTGCTGCGACATTCGGATGGTAGGGTCAGAATTTGGCGTCAACAACATGAAAGCATGGATCCATCCTGCCTTGTATCAACGGTTCAGGCTGGTGGTGGTGGTGTCATGGTGTGGGGAATATTTTCTTGGCACTCTTTGGGCCCCTTGGTACCAATTGAGCATCGTTGCAACGCCACAGCCTACCTGAGTATTGTTGCTGACCATGTCCATCCCTTTATGACCACAATGTACCCAACTTCTGATGGCTACTTTCAGCAGGATAATGCGCCATGTCATAAAGCTGAAATCATCTCAGACTGGTTTCTTGAACATGACAATGAGTTCACTGTACTCAAATGGCCTCCACAGTCACCAGATCCCAATCCAATAGAGCATCTTTGGGATGTGGTGGAACGGGAGATTCGCATCATGAATGTTCAGCTGACAAATCTGCGGCAACTGTGTGATGCCATCATGTCAATATGGACCAAGCTCTCTGAGGAATGCTTCCAGCACCTTGTTGAATCTATGCCACGAAGAATTGAGGCAGTTCTGAAGGCAAAAGGGGGTCCAACCCGTTACTAGCATGGTGTACCTAATAAAGTGGCCGGTGAGTGTATAAGCTTCAATTAGCCAATTGTCAGGTCTAAATCAAGGTCTAAATTAAGGATATTTTTTACTTAGAAGTAGAAGTAAAGTAAATGCAGACTAATAGCATTATAATAACACAACTTTAATATGACACTGACATATTTTAAATGCAGGAACTCATTATACAATCATCCTGGCTGGTGCAGGGCAAGAAGACATTAGCAACAAAATAAGATCTACTGATGTATACACTCTATACAATCATCTGAGAAAAACTCCAATTCCTATTCAAAGTCCTATTCTTTCCATAAGAAACAGTGACAGCAAATATGACAAATAAGTTTTGGCTTAGTACATAATACTGTCACTGAGTCACAGTGGGTCTGTTAACATAGCTCCCTTTGGTCATCATTTATTAATCAACACCAGTAATCGACATCAGTATCTGTATCTTCTTCTACATCTGAATCTGCCGGTGTGCAAGGGGCTCTTCCTCACTGTATTGGTTGGCACAAGTTTGTAATTTGCACAGGTTTGTGCACTTCAGCCCATTGCTGAGACACGTGCAGTCTGGTGGTTTGCATGTCCTCACACACTTGCAGGATAGCAACTGCTATCAATTGGCTAATTGAAGCTTATATATACACACCTGTATTAGATAAATTACTTGGAATACTACTTAGGGGGTTATTACAAGTCTCTATGGCTAGCCAATAGTTCAAACACACCTAAATGAGAGGTTAAAATGAAAGAAAGCTAATTTTGAAGGAAGGCGATTTTTCGTTTTTGAACAGCTGCACTCTATTACTTAAATGAGTGATAACTACAATAAAGCTACCAGTTACCAAGGTCTATCATATAAAAACTTATTGTAGGGATGTATAGCAATAAAAAAATCACCACCCAGGTGGTACCGATATGTGAAATTTTGGTTCTTGGCTCAAGTACTATGATACCTGAAAGTACTGCTCCACCATCAAATTGGGCCACTCCCACTTCATCAACTCATTTAATTAGACACAGGTTTGATTCATTTATAGAAAAGAGCAGTGTGACCCAAAAAGAGTGTGACTTTTAATGTGCTTTTGACTTTCTGTGTTGCTTTTGGAGTTAACAAAAATTCGCCTATTGAGGAAAATAACAAAATGAGAAAAAATATAAAAAGCTACCCCTATGAAAAGTCTATCATATTTTAATTTACTTATATTGACCCTAAAAACAATTTAGTATATGTAAGGTTTTGCCCACCCAAGTGGTACCGACATCTGGTCTGGCTCAAGGACTAACTAGGATATGAACGCGATGCATTAGTCTGCCATTTTGTTTTTTGCATGAGACATTTGTTTTCCCCTTTTTGTTAGTTCTTTTCTGTGCTCACTGAGCAGTATAGAGTGTGTGTTTAGCATTCTGCCTGTGAATTTTAAGCACCCTTAGCCACAGGTTACCAACTGTGCACTTGCATATTTTATTTCCTCATTGATTGATGTTATTTGTGTGCTAATTACAATGTAAAGAGCACAGAATGTTTTGATACTACTGGTTTTGAGAGGTTATTTCAACAACATACTAACATATTAGAATGAATCATATTCTGTTAATTGAGTGTTGTTTATTTTATTGCTGAGAGTTGTGATGTCATATTACAACAGAAATTCAGTAACCAGAAGTTATTCTCTATTGAAGTAGAGTTTGTATAGACTTAATATGATTTTATACCAATTCATTGAGAGTTGGCAAAGTTAAAATGAATGCTCTGACCCTACCCGTCGTAGGTCAGGTTTTTCTGTTGGACCCCATTCAGAGTTGGACCTACGTGGATGATGGAGCCAGTCGAAGTTTGATGGCGAGCCAAACCCCGGAGGATACTCAGAGATACCGCGGACCCTGAATCCTTTTACACTGTGACATACATACACATCACCCTCACACTAGTGAGGTGGGACTTATTTTCAATTGTACAAAGTTGGTTGGACTGAACATTAGTGACATAAGCAGCTGCAGAGATTTTTATTTTATTTTCATACTTACCCAGGTAAGAGTTGTTTAGACTGTGTTAATACATGTGTTATTATTGTGGCCTTCCCTATTCTGTTTAATAAACAGGGAAGCATTTCCGTTCTTAAAGAGTGCACTGTGGTTGTGTCGTTCTTGTGCATCGATTGGTCGATCCCTGGCTCCGTAGTCAAACCTTAGAGCTTCTGATAATACTGGTCAGTAGATCTAATCATCCCCCCCTCTCTTCTTTAAAGAGAGAAGTGTTACACTAGGGAGATTTTGAAAGTAATTTTTTTTCATTTTACTAGTTAATGATCCTTTTATATTCGAGTTTGCTATTATTACCCTGTGGGTGTTATTTATTTATCATTAAAAAGTCAGACAGATCTAGTGTTATTTTCAGAACTTAATGAGTTAAATCATGGATTCAAAAGTACCTTATACATATCAAGTACATTACACACTACTAACTACTGGATGTAGTTAACATTATATGATTAAGAAAGCTTTCATGAGTAAAACTCTGAGGAAGCCCTTAAAGTTCCTCTCTTGCTCTCAGACATATTTAGCGTTGGTCTTTTCAGGCTGAGTGCAGGCAAACCCTCTGGTTTTGGGTCAGCACTCACAGTTGATCACAAACAGGATAAAAGGCCCAACATCTCCCTTCCCACAGTGTACCCCCAAAATGCTGAACAGAATAATGAGCAGTAAACAAGGGGGGAGCAGGGACGAGGGGGGGTGTTCAACTCGAGAGGGGTGACAAAAGAAGGGAGGGTGTCTCCACAGCGACAGCAGAGCAGCTTCAGTCACATGGTTCTGCTTTCTATTGAAACCAGTGAGAAGAGGCTTGAAGCTCAGCTTTTAGTCCAAGTTTTAGAGGCAATGGCAGCAACATGAACAGGGCTCGAGAGGACAGAGAAATGATGACCGACGGACTCGATCTGAACAGGACAGCAGCTTTAGGACTGCATGACCAGGACATGAACACAGCTGCTTTGTTTGGTGGGCTGTTTCTTTGATGTGGTTTAAATATCACTTTATCGTCAGCGTAGAGCGTAACTGGCTTGAAGATGTCTTAGTGTTTCTTTTCAGTGGCATACCTGTTTTATATTTTCCCAGAGTTCAAAGTGTTCAACATTGTCATCATCGCTTTGGCCTGTGGTATCCTCACCGTGACTGGACTGTACTGCATCATTGCCTGCTACAACCGAACAAGGTAGGGCCTGAATATTCCCTCAATTTATCATCTACCTTCACAAAACAAATCTTGTTTTCAACTCAATTTGAAGGCAAGAATATTTGACATTTAACAACCACTTTAATCTCTTTATTCTGAATGCAAACAGAAAAGAAGTCAATGTGAGATAATACTGAAGTCATTAGTGCAATAACCTTCCTGTCCTTCACCAGGCAGTCAAAGAGGGCCCATTTGTATGAGAGCGCAGTGACCCAAGGCGAGCCAGCTGACCCTGTGGCAGTCAAAGCAGTAAAGAGGTCGACCAGCTTCATAAACCCTCTTGCCTTCTTCAAGAAACAAGACCCAGCCAAGGATAACAACAAGATCTACTACATCTACAGTAACCCACTGCCCGTGGGGCTGAAGGAGGAGGAGGAGGAGAGCAGGAGCAAAGCCCTGCAGGTACAGGAGGAGCAAACACTGAAAATGACGCTGCCACTGTCCATTGAAGAGTACGCCAACGATCCCAACAGTGGAGTCATCCTGGACCCACCCATTTTTTACATGCAGCTTTAGAGGTGGCAAAGGAGACACAGCTACATTTTATAACCTGAAAGGTCCAAGGTTCAACCTCTGCAGCTGTTGTGATCTAAAGACATCATGCACAAGCAATCATCACGCACTCCACTCAGCGTGCAAATTAAAATCTGCCGGGTCACAATCACCACTCAGACCATGTAGCTTGATGATGTCAGCAGGATTTTTTGCAGCATACGAATGAAGATGACAATTTGATCATACAAAAACCTGCTTTTGAGACATGGACATGTACTGAGTTTGAAGCTGAAGGTTTCAGACAAGGATCACAGGAGCCCTGTTAGAGCTCGGTATAAAACAATGACCTGAAATTTAATTAAAAAAAATTTAATAAAACCTGAAATGTAATAACTGGTCGATAATGTAACGAGATGCTGAGCCTGATTCGTAATATTTTTTTGCCCAAAATGTAACAGACTGCTACATTTTGGATCAGTTTTTACATTTCGGGCTTTACCACATTTTTTATAACATTTTGGGTCAAGTTACAGTACATATCAGGCTCTAACAGGCCCTCAAGTTGCCGTTGAATATTTAAATGCCTGGCTCTTATTGGAACCTTAAACTTAGCTTGTTTTATCCACTGATGCTTGTGAGTTTTGAGAAAGTACTACAGTCAGTCTATGGTGACTCTTATATTTTTACATTTTAATCTCAAGTAACTCCATATAAAGTTTTAAAGTGTTCAAACTAAAACTGTGAGTGGTCAGATGTGTTTTCAAGGGCGTGTATCATTTTGGACAATGCAACTAGATGGAACACTGTCATGACATCAGTGGTAAAAGGGCTTAGCCAGTAGAAACTATGATTTTGTTTTTGTGTCTTGAGGGAGAAGCTTGTTTTAAAGTTGTAGGGATTTGAGATTGTTTTAGCTCTTACTGTTTTGTTTGTATCACTGATGATTATTTCTGTGGAGGTACACTTCTTTCTCCTCCCGTTGTGAAAAAGTAAAGAACTTATTTGTTAACAGCGCTGTCAGTCATTGATCTGTCATCCTCTCTTCATAATCAAATAAATTAAATAAACTGAATTTCTCATACAAAATTATCACTTTCTCATAAATCAGCATGATAAAAAATTAATGCCATGACAGAAAGCCGATTTAACTAAAAGCAATGACATATAACCTGTAAGTTTTAACCGTTTTCTGTCTTTTATATTGTAGAAGGCTGACTATGACATACAGCGCAGCCAGTCACATGATCTCTATGTCTGCCACCAGTTTTGCTGTTCCAGTTGGATGTCAAAGCTAAAATTCTCCACATATCTCCACTCTGGATGTTTTTCAAGTGGTTTTGAAATGTCTTGTTGGGTACAAAAAATGCCGTCAAAATTTTGTCACTGCTCCAGGATACACTAGAAAACACTTAGTGAAGTGCTGGAGTGAGGATGCTAATATTTATTATAACATTATGATCATTGACTGTATATTCTATAAATAACTTGGTTCCGCCTTCTGTCATTACACGAATTTGAAGCCAGAAAGCTCTCAGTAATTCTGCGTTTTTTCTCCACTTCCTGAAACCAACATTGCGCAGTAGCGTTGTACGCACTCACCGGGAGAGTTGCTGTGATGATACTCTGCTCAAACAGCGTATCCCTCGGTTGAGCTACTCAATCTTTGTACGCCCATAGGCTGTATCAAGTGTCAATCATAGAAAACATGAACCCCCTAATAACTTTTAAAGATGGAGCTGCACAGAAAAAAAGGACTTGGGCACAAACCAGTCTTACAGTAATTACAACATTGCAACCAGGGAGAGAAAAATTTATATTCTGTGTAATTCATTTCTAAAGTTTGTCCAAAGCTCCATAGGGATTGCTGGAGGAGGCGGGATTTATGACCTATACTGCAGCCTATCACCAGAGGGTGTTGTTCTCAGGGTGGCTTCACCCAGAGAGGAGGCAGACGGCGTTCATTCTATATACAGTCTATGATTATGATGCTGCTACGCTCAGTATCTGAAGGTGAGATACTTACTTTTCAATTCTCAAGGGACTACATCTTCCTGCAAAGTCCCAAAAATCTGCATGACCACAAAAAAACATAACAGGTTTGCTCGGCAGTGTGCATGAGGCTTTCACTGTTCAAAAGAGCTGAAGGTCAGACACAAAATGAGGCATGGTGGAGCTCTTTTTATGTTTTTTTTAATGATTATTAATAAAACTGCTGATACAATGTGCTTTACAAAAGAAGCAGAGAGTGAGATACAGAGCAAGATGAGAAAAGTACAAACGCTTATCACGGCAGAGTAAATGATCAGTCAGACAATAGTGAGTTTTCAGATGATCAGCTGCGTCTCTCTGATCAGCCACTCTAACGCGTTCTTCCTACCCTGCCTCTCCAACTCTGCTCCGATTACCTCCCGGCACTTCCTGTGGTACTCGTTCACCCAGTCCCGCTGCAGGGCAGAGAGCAAAGGTTATCAAAGAGCCATCCAAGAATCATGATGGTATCTTTTAGTGATTTAAACCCTAATAGGAAATGCATTATATTGATTATATCTGATCACTGTCTTACTTTAACAGTGATGGGTTGTTGTATTTCAGGGATTTATGAAATACAACATTCAACTTTCGCCATTAAAATATTGATCACGCAGGTATAAGTTTTCATTACCTCTTTCTGAGTGAGCTGCTCTGTGTTGATCATCTTGACTTGGATAGGAACCAGAGTGAGCGGATCAAACGTCAGGCTGCCTCTGTTTCTGTAGTTGTACTGAACACACACACGCACACACGCACACATCACACATTGAAATATCATGAGTTCTCTTGAATTAACAACCAAAGATGTAGTTCAATAAAGTATAGAGCAGACTGGTTGGATAAAGTTTTCAGCTCAATCTAGTACTTACTTTTGGTTTTGCTGGTACAACAAGGACCACGTTTTCAAGACGAATGCCAAAAGATCCATCCTCATAGTAGCCAGGCTCTGGAAAAGAAGAAGGGATATTTAAAGTTTTAATAATATCAAACACAGAGAAGGCAAACTTAGTTTGTTTTGGATGTTCTTTAAAAAAGCATCTCGTTGACCTTTTGGGGCCTTTTTTTCTTGCCAAGTGTATGCTGATATGCATTTATGACATTTGTGCAACATTTTGGGAAGATTTATTTAAATCTGGCCTGCTGTTGTGGCAGAAGTGGCATTTGCAGTATTTAGAAATGATGTGACATTTTCATGAGGCCTTTAATTAACTTCTGCAATATGAAACGAAGGATAAACACATTAATCAGACGCCGTTCAACTGAACATCTAATGTTGCCTTGAAGGGATGAAAATTACTCTAAAAGCAACAAAAGTTAGAACTTTTGGGAGTCTTCACTGGAAACGTGCCATGCTTTTGTACTTTTTTAAAGTTGGAATCTGCTGGAGATTAATGAAGATTATGAGCTGAATAACAAAGCTGGGTTAATTTTTATTGCTGACTTGGAAAAAGCCTTTGATAAGGTCAGTTTAGAATTTATTTTTAAAAGCTTAGATTTTTTTAATTTTGGAAACTCCTTAATAAACTGGGTTAGAGTATTATATAATGACACTAATTGTAAGATTAGTAATAACGGTTATATTTCAAAGTCTGTACCTCTAACAAGGGGAGTAAAACAAGGATGCCCATTATCACCATATTTATTTATAATTGCTATGGAAATACTAGCCATTAAAGTGAGATCTAATGTGGATATAGAGGGGCTTGATTTTGGGAATACACAAACAAAAATTTCAATGTACGCAGATGATACTAGTTTCCTACTGAACCCCAAACCTTCTTGTTTGCAAACTCTTTTGGAACTTTTAGAGCTTTTTTCACAGTACTCTGGTCTAAAGCCAAACTATGAAAAATGCAAAATTCTCAGGATAGGAGCACTGAAGGGTACAAATTACAAAATAATGAGTAAATTGCCCATTGTCTGGACGGATGGCCCGGTTAATGTTTTGGGTATTGTGATTCCAGAAAATTTAGAAGACCTGAGTATGATGAACTATGATAATAGGCTGACAAAGATAGATAAGATTTTACAACCATGGAAGGGGGAAACATTAACACTTTTTGGTAAAATCACCCTAGTTAATGTCTTGGTTGTATCACAATTTATTTATCTTTTTATGTCCCTCCCAATCCCATCACAATCCTTCTTTAAGGGTTATGAGCAAAAGATCTTTAAGTTCCTCTGGAATAATAAACCAGAGAGGATCAAAAGAGGAGTCCTCTACAACAATTATGAACAGGGTGGGTTAAAATTACTGAATTTAGAGTCTCTCTGTTTTTCCCTTAAATCCTCCTTAGTTCAGAAATTATTCTTGAATGAAGACTGGTTTTCATGTAAGATACTGGAGAACACCCATTTACTGTTCCAAAAAAGATTATATCCTTTCCTACAGATTCAGCCAAATCATATAGATTGTGTGAATAAGACGATTGGAAATGTTTCCACCTTTTTAAAGGAAGCAATTCAATGCTGGCTTTTCAGTTTCATCCTCCAGAAAACCGTGATGAAATTTTACAGCAAATAATATGGTTTAATTCAAATATCTTAATTGAAGGGAAACCAATTTTCTGGAAAAATGTCTTTGATCATGGTGTATTGTTTATAAATGATATTGTTGATGAAGATGGGAAACTGATGAAGTATAACCAATTTATTGAAATGTATGATATGATTTGTTCCCATCATTCATATAATCAATTGATTTCTGCCATAGAAAGAGATTGGAAACAAAAGATTAGTAGTGGGACGTCAAAGTTATTTGTTTGTCAGCCTTCTATAAGAAATGTAAGATGGTTAAAAGGAAATAAAATAAATGGAAATATGTATAAATTCCACTTAACCTCTAGATCACTAATGATTACACCTTATACTACCTATAAAAAATGGGAGGATATTTTTGATTTTCCTATCCCATGGCAACATGTATTCAAGCTATTGTTCAAAACAACTGTAGACACATTTTTAAGATCCTTTCAGTTAAAAATCATTTATAATTTTTTGTCTACTAGAAAAATGCTTAAAATTTGGGGTATTATTGAGACAGATGAGTGTCGTTTTTGTTCAATGGAATCTGAATCAACAGTACATCTGTTTTGGTATTGTCATGTTGTCTACTTTTTGGAGGGAGGTTCAAAGAATGTGTATTGCTATGAAGATGTGTTTTACATGTGACTTCTTTTCTGTTATGCTTGGAGATGTTACAGAAACAAGCAGTTATATTATTAATTTAATTATTTTGTTGGGAAAGAGATTTATTTTTGAAGCTGACAGTGCAAATTCTTTGAATATCAAGCAATTTAAGATGTTTATTAAACGTCACTTTATTTTGGAGGGGTATACTGCTAATATGAAAGGGGATGTTGGACAGTATTTGGAAAGGTGGGAAGCATTTATTGAAGTGGAAGGCTGGCATTTAACTTAAAAAAAAAAATGGAAAGCAAAACTTGGTGTACTGTTTGATGTTTTTTTTTTAAATTTTATTTCCTCCTACCCTTTATTATATTATTATTTATTTAATTTGCTGATGCACTGTATGTTTTATGTTGTAATGATGTTTTTGGTGTGTGCTTGTGTTAATTGTTTTTAATTAGCTTCGTTTGTATGTTTTTGTGATTATTACTGTTCTGTCTATTGGTGGTTTATGTCATGTTATGTTATTTTTGTTCAAATAAAAAAAAAAAAAAAAAAAAAGTTGGAATCGAGAGATGTCACTGTCTCCAGCTGACATTTCGATGCTTCACTGAAAAACCTGCCCCTTCTTTGAACATATCTTACCATCACTGACGATCATGCCGGCCTCCAGAGGTTCATCAGCAAAGGTCTTGTAGCTGATGCCACAGGGTCCCTCATGGACGTTGAGGAAGCAGCCCACACCGTGTCCTGTACCGTGAAGATAGTCCAGCCCTGACTCCCACAGAGCTGAACGAGCAAAGGAATCCAACAAGTGTCCTGGGGAAGGAAAGGAGAATTTATGCTTGATGACTTTTTTGACTGAATCCATAAAAAAAAGTAATCAAAGGATGACGGAGACACTCTTATCATGCCAGGAAAGTCACTAAATGAATTTGAGAATAGCAGCTGATACTCCTCATAAAATAGTATGTGAGGTGCTCTTTATCACTCTGTTTTTTTATCTTACTGAAGCTATTTGCTGTGTCTTTCCCCCATATTGTCAGTGTTTGAAACTGACAAGCACAGCAGGATGCTATGGTGAAAAGTCCAGTTTGCTGTCTTTGAAATGTACTTTTATTAAACACAGCTCACTGTGTCTCTGTTCTGCAAACAAAGTACGCTCTTGAAATTTTCCACCCCATCCTGAGAGCAGTGACACGGATCCGTGACCACAAGATCAGGATCCCTGTGGATCCACTGTTGATCCGTTTTTGTGTGACATTTCATTAAAGAAATATTAGCACTCCAAGAGGTGCTTTATATGTGAATCAGTGGTTTGAGCCTTACTGTTTAACACATGCTCAAGAAGTAATGATGTACAAAGTTCATGCACCTTTAGTTCCGTTTGGGAAAACAGCAGCACTGACAGCTATGTGTCCCTTCAGCACAAAGGTAAAGCATTCCTAGAAAGCATGAGAAGAAAACAGACACACTTTTTATAAATAACTGCTGATGTGTACGTGTTACCACATTAAATAGTGAAATAATGTGATAAGCTTTAGTCAAATAAACTCCAACCACAGATTTAAATGAGTTTGAAACCACTGCTTTAAAACTCTATAAATTCACCTTCTCAAAAGCAGAGGGGGTCCCGAAGTGCATGGTGCGTGTGACATCGGTGGTTCCATCACTGCCAGACATAGACAAAGAAGCAGTTAATGCATGTAGTTAATAATATTCAACAAAAAAGTAACAACTGCTACATTTCCACTGAAATAAGTTTATTATGTAATTGAATGAATCGATGCATAAAACCCATAGCAATATCAGTCAGAGACATAGACTGTATAAACTATGGACAACCTGGTTCCGCCTTCCGCCTGTATACGGATTTGAAGCCAAATAGCTCTCAGTATTTCTGGGATTTTCCTTCATTTCCTGAAACCAGCGCTGCGCATTACCGATGCGCGCGTTCGGCCGCGCAGTCGCAGAGAGTCGCTGTGATGACGCTCGGCTCAAACAGCGTATCCCCCGGGGGAGCTACGCAATCCCTGAATGCCCATAGGCTGTATCAGGTGTCAATCATACAAAACGTGAACCCCCTGATAACTTTAAAAAATGGAGCTTAACAGAAAAAAGAGGACTTAAGCACAAACCAGTCTTACAGTAACTACATGTCAACATCGCAAGCAGGGGGGAGAAAAAAATTATGTTCTGTGTAATAAATTTCTAACGTTAGTCCACAGCCCTGTAAGCTTTGCTGGTGGAGGCGGGATTTATGACCTATACTGCAGCCCATCAACAGAGGGTGCTGTTCTCGGAGCGGCTTCACCCAGCAAGGAGGCAGACTCTGTCCATTCTTTATACAGTCTACGGTCAGAGACGATCAGTCTGAATACAACAGATATAATTCATCTTCATACAGTCATGAGCTTAATTACATGTACTGAGCTCCAGAGTCGATCAGGTATACTTCATTCAAAGAGAGAGTCCTGTTGGTTTCAGGCAGTGGTCTGAAAGGTAGAAGAAAAAAGTTAGAGATAAAAACTAAGTATAATACAACAACAAAGTACGGGTGCAAAGTTAGCCCATCTGTGTGCATTTCAGCCAACCTGTAATGTATGATCGCTCCGTTTGGACCAACACTTGAAATTGTGGGGAAACTGAGGCCAACAAAGTCTTTCTGTTGACTGAAAAACAAGCATAGTGTGAAAAAAAACACAATAAAAACAACAACAACTGATCCTTTGTGGAAACGTCAGTCTTGATTACTCTTTATGTGTTTAATGATCCACTAACCTCATGGGCAGTTAGTCTATGAAATTGTCCAACCATTTATGGCTCAAAAGTCATACTAAATGTATATATATCCTAAAAAAGTTAGAGTATAAAGAGGATGAAACTTTTGAAAGGTAAACAAGGTGTTTGTATCCCCTGTCAGATCTTTAGCAAACATTTTGCTAACCCTCCGTGTCCACTAGAGGAGGATATAGCTCCAGCAGAGTCACTATCATAACACATCACACACAGCATTCATCACTTTGCATTTTAAGCATGAAAGCTGACATGAAGTTAAACTGGATCAGCCCGACAATGAAATCCGGTAAACCCAAGTGTTTTCTGGAAATGACCATGAAAAAAACCCACCTGCGGAACTCTTCAGCCTTGTCAGCAGCGGAAATCTCCGTCACATTGCCTTTTGGAATCTAAAAAACAAATCACACAATAACTGCAGCATCCAGTCATGCAGGAAGCATTAGAAAAACATCAGTACATCCTCCAGTCCAAACTAGGCTACACAAATTCCTTCCTGAGAATGAAGGCCTCCCAAACCCACTGATCGATGGACATTTATGTCAGTTCAATTGAAGAACTTTTTATTGTTTCGAGAGGTTACACAAATATAAAGTAGGTATGTTTTAAAATATGTCACATTTATTAATACATGGCTAAAGAGTGAAAAATGTACCTCCTTTTCCAACCAAGCAAAGAGCTCACAGAGCGCAACTGCATCCTTGATCTGTAGAGAGGGCAAAGTATGGGAGATTTAAGACTAGTACTGGGGGTTTTTAAAGATGCCATAAAGTCAGTGATTGAGGGATGACAGAGCAGATTTAAGGAAGTCCAAAGGTTCTTACGTGGGCCATTTTCATGCCTTGAATCTCAGTGGCATTCTTCACAGCCTTGGCGAGGCAAAGGGGGGTGTAGGGAATTGGTGTCCTGTGAGCCTACAGCACATTTAAAGGTTACTTCACAGTTTGAAAAGCAGCTAAAGCAACTTAGATTTTATGTAAGCAAATGTACTTTCCAATTATTTTATTCCAGTGTACTCTGGAATTGATCTACAAATAATCCGAGCAGCATAGACACGTATTTAATGATGATAACCAAAATACCTTTGCTATTGTCACTGTCAGTTATAAGATGAAGAAAAGAGGCATAAAGGGTATGATTTTTTTTTTCCAAACATATGAACAACTCACAACTAAAAAAAAAAATCTTTGTGTCCCCTCACCAACACACACCAGAGAAATTTTAATCTTCCCTTTCTGCTGGTTTCCATTTTGATCTCTTACCTTTGGGATGACCTGTGTGAGGGCACAGCTGGCCTTGTCGCAGATCCACACTTTGTCTTTAGGGCCCAGAGCTGCACAGATTGCCTGGAGCTCAGTGAAGACCGACTCATATGGGAATGTGCGGATGCTTAGCTCAGGTTTGCTGGGGGAGTCCAGCTGCAGGTGGTCTCTCAATGCTGGATCAGAGAGACGTTTTAGGTCCACAAAAAGCCTGCAGAGATGGAGAGGGTTTTCAGTGAAGTACTCAAAAAAAAAAAAAAAAACCTTATTTCTGCATGTGGCATTCAGAACAATACTCCACTTAACGTTCAAGGTTTTTGCATGAGTGTGGGAAGCAGTAATGAAGAGCTTTAAGGGGTGTGAAAGATTTAAGGTATTTGATGTTGACTTATCTGGGCTAATTTTAGGTTGAAAATTGATGTAGAGTATTTGTGAAGTAAATGTTTTCCAATTGCAAAACTCAGTTTTCTTGAGTGTTTTAAATAATTTTCTAAAATCTATGAGTACAGGCTGTTTGCAGTCAACTTTTAAATAAAAGACTTGTATTTTTTTTTTATTAATCAGCAACCAGCAAGTTCCTTATCCTCTCTTAAAACTTATCTAAATACTCATTTTTGTATATGTGCTTTTACCAGACATGAGTTTTAGCTTAACTGTTGTTGATTTTTATTACTTTCATCATTAGAATCAAGGTATTCTATGAAAAAGAGATCAAACCAATATGTTGCACTATTGTGTTGTGTATTATTTACCTTATTGTGTTCAACCCCACAATGGCATATGCAAAGAACACTGGGTTGTACTCAATGTCTGCGCCTCGGAGGTTAAAAAGCCCTGAGAAAAGGAAATAAAGTGAAACATTAGTTTAAGTAACATTTGATATCATGCTAATCAAACTGTTATCACTTTTAACTTTAATCTAAATTTTGAATTTTCTGTGTCTCAACCAAAGCCTAAGCCTGGTGAAACAGATCTTTACCCGTCATGTCACCCATCACTTGCAGATGTCTGAGCAAATCCCCTTTACTTTAACACTCAGTGAAACGCTCTGGTCTAAATACAACCTGATGACAATCAGAATCAGCGTCACTTTAATTAACACAAACTCTCAGACCAAACAATCAGATACAAGAGCTCATTAGGCACGCTGAACAAGGTGCTTAAACAGGCATCTAGAGAGACACCCCTGTATCCCTGGGTCCTTGGATCGTGATCTCTATCAAAACGAACTTATGTCAGAGGTGTGACATCAGTGTCAGTGATGGCTGCTGCTTGTTGTACGCAGTTAAAACTTACACATGTCACAATATATCAAGGCTAACACTATACATCAACAAGAGACCCTTAAGGAGGTATTTGTTTCCTTTTCCAGTAAATCCACTTTCACATGGACATTGTGTAACATCCGTACTGGATATCTCCACCCATAACCTGGAACACGTCAAACTATACCCTGCAGCAGTCATCTTTCAAGTCATTGTTGTTACTGTGCCATTACAAGAAAGGGGTCAAAGCAAATTGTTGCCATCAAATTAAGTGATTTATGTTTGGAATCCAAAGACTTTGAATGAATAGGCGTTGACAAGTTTTGTGAAACTGGTTTAAAGAAAAACATGACTCATTAAGTTTTCAGTAAACACTTTGTCTTAAAAGAAGCATTGTCTTTCGTATTGCGTTAAGGAGTTTCCCCCGCATACCATGTGCACAAAACTCTACGTACATGCAATCTCGTCCAGCGCTGTGGCAACAAACCATGTGAGTTTCCTCTCTGTCATCTTGGCCCGTAGCGCAGTGATCTTGTCTTGCCAGGATACACCTACAAGGTGACAAATATGCTCTTCAACCAGGCACTGACGCAAATCCCATTTCCTTTTAAAACCTGTCAATCCAGCAACATGACTGAAGCCTTGATTTTTTTCCTTTTTAGATTCAAAGATAAATAAAGATTAAATTAAAAGTATCAAGCATAAATCAAATTTGCACTCACAATAAAATAAGAAATAAACTAGAGTAAGATATTAACTTCACCTTGTGTGAATTTTTAAAATATCACGTTGAAGATAGATCTCTGAAGAGATGTTAAAGAGTAAAAACTATGTATAATAACTCTCTGTCTAATCATGTAGTTAATCTGGGGCTTGCACTGACCGGTGTAATCTAATCCAAGGATGCGGAGTTGTGTACTGGGTCTTTCTGGGCGGTCTGTCCAGACCACATCAATCAGGTTATCCTGCACCGCCACCAGAGAGTGGCCTGCACTTATCAGCGCTTTTGACATGTTCTTCCACTGATCTGAAAGCAAAATCAGATTGTGTTGAGATGCAGGTAAGATCAAAAAAATTTAACACTCATTATATTTGATTAGCATCACAGTGAAAGTAGTACCCTGTTTTCAATTTTCAAGTTGTTCAAGTTGTTGAGCAGGTATGATAGATTATCTCGTTTCTCTACAATGTAATATTTCCTGCCATAGTCCAGGAACACTGCAGTGTTTATACCACACTGAACTGGAATTATGTGTCCAACTCTATCTCTTGTATGGAACCACATCTTACCAGCAGCTATGATCCAAGGATCAACCCCCACTTTGGAGTTCTCAGGCAGGATGCTGATCAGCCAGTCCTCCTGGGAGGGAGTCTCCTTCAGTCCTTAATCATTTACAATAAAAAAATCACACACAATGGCAAGAGCATTAGAAAGACCCAACTTACACAAGTGTTAAGAACATCCTCAAAGTTTCATTTTCTACAAAGAAACTCATCGTATGCAACAAGTGAGAAAGCCTGTATGTACACTTATATATTCATCTACTCTCAGATTAGGTTGTAGCATTTGTGCTTTAAGTCTAGCTGTGTGATTCATGTATTTATTGAAGCTTTAACATCTTCTTATACCTGATGTTTCTTACAGTTCGTGTTCCTTTTTTTTCCTTATTATATACAAAAGAAGCTACAAGTAGGACATTACCCATCTTCATGAGGGTCCAGTTATTGTCCATCTGCTGACTGGCCTGGAGGAAATAGCGCCCATCAGTCCACATTGCGGCATGCTGCTCTGTGACAATGGCTGTGCCTATGCAACACAAAATAGAATGATCAGACCTTTCAAAACACAGGCAGTTTGTTGGATGAAATCCTTGCTAGTGATGAATCTTAAAAATGGTGATGCACTTGTTTGTTTTTATTGTTTGACCTACAAAACGATGAGTTGTTTGACCTGTTTATAGAAACATAAAAACATTACTATCTGCCTCTAAAATCTCAAAGGCAGATACAAGTTCTGTGAGTGATCAAGATGACTGTATTTTTTACAACCTGTGCTTATGCCAGGATGAACAGCAGTGTCTCTATCGTCGAAAATGTAGGCCAATTTAGATGAACCATTGTCCATTCTGTGCTGACACGTTACTGCTGTAACCAAACTGAACTTGAGACTAAATTACTACCCTGTCCCAGAATTCTCCACCATAACAGCTTGGCTTCTGGTCAAAGCAGTCACCACAAGATGAACATACCTGCAGAGCCGTTGAACCCACAGATGAATTCACGTCTGCAGTCACATGGTGCTATGTATTCACTCTGAAAGGCGAAGGGGCCCAGAGATAAAGAGAGAGAATGGAAGAAGGAGAAAGAGACATCAGCTTCATTAACAAATCAGTGTAAAGAGGCTACCAACAAGTCAGACATTTAAATGCCGCCTTTGCTGCTCTTCTCACATCACGCCTCGTACAAGGAGTGGGGAAAGGGAGGAGCAGTTGGCAAAGGGCTGCAATTAATTGCGAAGGTCAGTTGAGACTATTGAAAGTTAATTAGAATACAACCAAAGTAAATCATGCAATGGTGGCAGCTGACAGTCTCTGCAAACAGTTCCAGATTCATGTTTTCAAATACTCGGCCATGTCCAAATGTTCTTTAGTACACATACAGTGGATATAAAAAGTGTACACACCCCTGTTCAACTGCCAGGTTTTTGTCATGTAAAAAAGTTACATCAAGATAAATAATTTCACAACTTCTTCCGCCTTCAATGTGACCTATAACCTGTACAACACAATTGAAAAACAAACAGAAATCTTTCAGGGAGGTGAAGTAAAAATAAACAACTGAGATCATGTGGTTGCCTAAGTGTGCACACCCTTTCATAACTGGGGATGTGGCTGTGTTCAGATTTAACCAATAACATTCAAACTCAGGTTAAATTGGAGTCAGCACACACCTGTCACCAATTAAAGTGCCTCTGATCAACCCCAAATAAAGTTCAGCTGTTCTAGAAGGCTTTTCCTGACATTTTTGTAGCCACATCTTCCAACACAAGCCATGGTCCGCAGAGAGCTTCCAAAGCATCAGAGGCATCTTATTATTCAAAGATATCAGTCTGGTGAGGGCTACAAAGAATTTCCAAGGAATTAGATATACCATGGAACACAGTAAAAACCGTCATCAACAACAACAACACTAAAGGAGCTGCAGGGATTTCTGGCAAGTACTGGCTGTGTAGTACATAAGACAACATCTCCCGCTGTCTTCATATGTCTGGGCTGTGGGGTAGGGTGGCAAGACAGAAACCTTATCTTACAAAGAAAAACATCAAAGCCCTGCTTAATTTTGCAAAAAGACATCTGAAATCTCCCAAACGCATGAGGGAAAATGTTTTATGGTCTGATGAAACCAAAGTTTAACTTTTTGGACATAATTGCAAAAGGTATATTTTGCGCAAAAACAACACTGCTCATCACCAAAAGAACACCATACCCACAGTGAAGCATGGTGGTGGCAGCATCATGCTTTAGGGCTGTTTTTCTTCAGCTGAAACTGGTGCCCTAGTCAGGGTGAAGGGAATTCTGAACAGTTCAAAATACCAGTCAGTGTTGGCACAAAACCTTCGGCCTTCTGCCAGAAAGCTGAAGATGAAGAGGAACTTCATCCTTCAGCACGACAATGACCCAAAGCACACAAGTAAATCAACAAAAGAATGGCTTCACCGGAATAAGATTGAGACTTTGGAATGGCCCAGCCAGAGACCAGATCTGAATCCCATTCCCCTTAAAGGTTTCAGTTTGTTTTTCCAATTGCATTGTACAGGTTATAGGTCACATTAAAGGTGGAAAAAAGTTGTGAATATATTTATCTTGCTGCCATTTTCTTACTTCACAAAATCCTGGCAGTTAAACAGGGGTGTGTAGACTTTTTAAATCCACTGTATGTTATGAGTCTGTGTTTGATCTCACTTACCTGATGCGCATCTCCAGAAGGGACGATGTAGGCTTGTATAGGCTCAGAGAAGTATTTACAGTTTCTCATGGCCTGGCGAAGCTGCCTGAGCAGCTCTCCTGTGATCTTTGGAGACATACTGGTGTCTATAAGGAGAAAGTACATGACACAAAAGTTTAAGGATTAAACATGCAACATACTTCTTAAAACCAAACTGGATACTTCAACAATCCATTAACATGCCCAATAAACTGATTGTAAAAGGCTGCTGAAATTTAAAGTATGCAAACTGTCATTCCAGGATATTTATGGTGTAAGAGAATCTGTAGAATATCAGAAACCGCTCGCTTCAAACAACAATAACAAGATTTAACCTTTCCCTTGTCTACTCCTATTTCAAGTACCCTGATTGTCTGTGGGTTACCTGACTTTTGTGAAGTCATGTCGTCTTCAGCTGACAAAACCAGGACAGCAACTGGCTGTTTCCTACCTGACTATTAACGTGGAGCTCAAAGTCACAGTCCACACCTGGATCTTTGGTCTTAAACTCATAAAGCAATTTTCGCAGGAGTTAAACATTAAAAGAGTAGGCCAATTAGCTTGTGCTGGCAGGTCTGTGACCCTTTTAACCGCTTCAATCATCCAGCAAAGTCCAGAGGAAACTAAGTCCAGAGGAAGCTATCACCAACTACATCCTCTGCGTTACAGTAGAAATCAGTGTACGAGCCAACCAATCAGGTTGCAGAACTCTTCATCGATGAACTCTCCTATAGGCTTAAACAGTCCGCATGCGATTGTTGTTTACAAGTTGGCATTGAATATATCAGTCCATTTTAAAGCTCTCTACTAGCCAATAAGTCTATGTAAAAACAGAGCTGTAGCTTCAAGTATTATAAGACACAGTAGAACAATATTGTAATTAGCCAGGCTGATGTACTTTAGCTACATTCACAGACTAACCAATACACCACACAATAACCGATTCATTCAGTATGTCGCCGTTTTATTCCGTAGTGGGTGTGGTAGCACGCCGGCTACAATTAGTATATTTACAGAGTTGCTGGCGAACCGACTAACCCACATTTGCTTCTCTAAGTGAACGCTATCTCTTGGCCGTAGCAGAATAAAAGTAAACTGATATTGGCTTTGGAGTTACCAGCCGTTTCCCGACTTGAAAACAGTCAACATCCCTCCGTGCTCCCTCTCAACCACCGGTACATGTTTACATTAGCCCCGCACTCTGCTGCTAGCTAACTTTTATGTCCCCCCACACACGGCGAGTGAAACACTGAGTACACACCCGGTGGTTTCGTCTTGGAAATGAGATTCTTGGCTCAAAAACGACTCGTTCCTTTACCAGCTTGGACCTTGTGTTAATTTACAAAAGTGGAGGCTGCCATTTCGGTGTTGACGTTTGCAGTCACGTGACTGCAGTTTCTTCCAGTAGACGTAGAGAATTCCAGACTCGCCTCTTTTTCTCTGAGTGAACCATACACCAGAGACTATAACTCATTTCTTAACGACTATGCTGTAATTACTCTATATGCCATATACAGGAACTACACTATAAGTCCTGAATTATACTTAATTGGTGAAAAAGGAAGACATTCTCCTGGGGAAAAACAACAACTTTATTATCATTAATAATAGAATTAGCCTACTATCATTAAATATAGTTATTTTATTGTATAAATCCAAAAAAAACATGCTGGCAAAGAGCTGAGATACACTCCATGCCTGACAGGATAACACCCTTCTTTGGGGTATTGTTCTCCCTACACCTTGAGCCTAAATATGCTACACAACTGAGGGCATCTAAGCACCAAGTAAGTGTGTTTACAGGTGTGACAGCAAGGCATCTCCAATTGACTTTCCAACATATACCAGCCAAAATGTGAGCCATGTAATGCAAGCTAACACAACAGTGGATTGAAAGTTCTACTTTCAGGACGTTTCCAAATTTTCAGTTTCTGCCGAAATGGTCGGACAGGTAGTCTTCTTTATCATTGAAGGTAAATATAATTGAAGATAATAAAGAACATACATGTGTTAATGAAGTGAACAAAATAACAGAAAGCTCGTTTAATAAAACACACTCAAGTACTCCACCACAACTCATTATTTCTCCAATAATAAATGAGGCTATAATAGACAGTAGACACATGTCTGATCATTTCAGAAAGAGAGAATTGAAAATTCAGAGGCGTTCTGAAAGCAGAATTTGTGGTAGAGCTGTTGGATTGCACGACATAGACCAGGTTTTCATGATGTTGCTATAACTGGAAAGAGAAACAGCAAAGAGGAAATTGCAACTATAGTTGGTTATCATCTCAAATGTGTCTTTTTTTATTTTTACAATTTTTAAGCGTTGTACCTTTAAACTATATGGGTTGCTTTTATGTGCATTTCAGAAATCTTCAAATTACCTTTCCTAATGACATGCTAATGTAAATAAATAATGATAATAAAGGTACCAAGTGAGAAATACGGTAACATGAAATGTATTTACCACATTATACTCCAGGCTTTGCTCAGTTATTTTTTCCTTAGTCCTTCACTGTCTGTGTGAATATGATACACCTTTTCATAGTCCTTAAGCCTGTTGATGTAACTAGCAGGCCCCTCTACCTTTTGCTGTGAATAAAGATGGTATATGTCTATATCTTATCCTAATTTGACTACTTACTCTGATTACTCTAAAGTGTGTTTTTTATTATGTGTGGTAGGTTTCTTGTATTTTGGCCCTCATGCTTTGATGCCTTTTCTCAACATACAGTGCATACAAATTGAATTTAAAAGGTTGAAAGGCCAAATGAGTGCCCTGCAAGGGCACCTGCCAGAAAAAAGTTTCATAACCTATGCCTTTTGTAAAGTCTTGATTTAGTCAGTCATTAAAAGTCTCAATTGATGCCTCATTAGGGTGAGGCACCAGAATTTTATTTGAAAGCTCTCCTTTTAAAATGTGTCATAGAATTACCTTCCAGCTAAAGACCTGTAAGCACTGCTCGCATGTTTGGTGCTCCTACAGAAAAATAGACAACTGGCCCATGGTGTACAAACATTATTGTCTTTATTCACAATTTCCCAGATGTTTATACAAAATTTGACTTGGATGTTGTGCATAAAACAAAACAACAACAAAAAAGAACAGACAGGTCTGAAAAATGGTAAATATTCAGCATTGGTTTATAACAATCCAAGTGAATAGTGGATAAAAGTAAGATCTTCGTGTGCAAAGATTACTTTCCTATCATCAAACATATTAACTTAATGTCTACTGGTGTAAATTAAAATGTATGGCTGAAGGATCTTGATTGTTAAACATTGAAACAAAGGCATTATCTGTTCAATTATCATTCAGATGACCATCAAAGTTGATTGGTTACATTCATAAACAAATTCAGTATTTTACAAAATGAGGACCCAAGGATCTATGATAATAAAGTATGGTGTGGCTGATTGTATAAACTATGAATACAGTGAAGATGGCAGCAGGCAGGCGGCAGCAAACATCAAGTAAAGAAGCAAAGTCCCTGGCAGCAGGAGCGGACCTGCACTCCCTGGAGGCATCAAATCAGAAAGTCAAACACAGTTTATTCTTTCAAGGAATTAAACTCGACTACACTGGTCGGCTTCACATGCATAAACTAGGTTACATTCATATGTTCACCTAAAGTTAAGTTGAGGGTGGAGCTACTTACGTGTACACGTGTCTGACTCTTGGTACACGCCCATCATCTCACTGGTTTTAACAGAGTCCAGGAGCTGTTTGCTGACATCACCTGGAGGAAACAGATGATATGGTGATATTTAATCTCACAGAAGACTTTAAAGACATGATCAGTGATTTGTTTTTTCTAGATAACTACTGCAGCTTAGTTTAAATCATTAAGTCACATAAGTATAAACCAGAAATACTGCAGCGGTTTCTTTCTTCTTCATGCAACTAAATGTGATTGCTTAACAGTTTTAGATAAATATAGATGTCAAGATGTTAGTAAAACTCTAATATGGTCTGTATGCATAGCATTCTTGTTCCCTTTTCTGTTAGCCAAGAAGACAATGCAATGCTCTCAGCTCTTATCTGAGTGCATCTTTCTGCAATATTACCTCCATAATCACTGGCCTTTTTCTCAGTAATGATTGCAATATTAAACTCTGCACCTTGTGGGAGGCTTTTGAGGGTATAAATGCTCATCCTGTGCTATACTGTGTGAGACCTCCACACAGGTACTTCTCTGTTCCCCCCTGAGATAGAGGATGGGACAGAAATAAGACACTCAACTCCAGCATCAGGTTACCAGGTGATTTTTCAGCTTTTCTAAAGATGTTCAATGCCCATACTTGTTCATTGTCCCTACGAACACAGTCGAGGCATACAGTTTGCCAGGATTGGTGCTGGAGGCTTGAAGTGTTTGAAGACTGACACGCTGTACCAACAGACTGATACAAATTTTCTTTTTTATCAAATTGGGACCAGAATTAGAGATTGTGTTTTTTTTCAAGTAGTTATTTTCTATTTAAAAAGTAGGTTCCTTTATGTGTTGAAGTTACATAACAGTACTTATAGAGTTCAGAACACAATATGAAAGGCTAAAAGAGTAGATTAAAATTTATGATTTACACTCATAACAATTTTATATATGGTATATAACATGAATCTTAGTGTATAAAAAATGTTTGTTTTAGGTTAAAGAGTTAAAGTTTTGTTCATATTTGCTATATGGGTGAATGAGTTTTCTAAAGACACTTTGTTTGTTTCTTGTATTTGACACTCCCAAGTACTTTTTTACATTCCACAGAGAGAGGTTACACCTTCAGTGTTATGAGTACTTAATAAAGTAAACTCCAAGTACAGCCAATCCCTTTAGAGATTATACGGATTAACAGGTCAACAAAACTGTATCCTACTTTCACGTGCTCCCTGGGTGTTGGATCAAATATATGCCCAATCAATGCTAGTCACAGTAACTTGTTTGCTTTTTTTTCCCCAGCACATTTGGTGGGAATAGAGAAGGAAGAATGTAAATTAATCAGTAAATTAAGTTTATTTTTTGTGTGTTTAAAGATAATACCAGTGCTGTACTCTTGTGATGATAGGGGAATGTTTTTTTAGAAAGGATTTTTGACCTACCTGACACCATGAAGTTGACAGTCTGGCAGCTTTCGACTGTTGCTTCCTCGGGAGAGCCAGACAGGATTGTAACTCTTGATATGTCCAACTGCAGCACACGAGCAACCCGACGACGGAAGTCATGCCTAAGGCCAATAAAGAAAAAAAAGAAAAGACAGGAAAACATCAACCTTGTGGGAAACATGATGTAACAAATCCCTGGTGTTTAATTCTTAAATATTAACATTTGGATGAATTACTTCTAATGTCACAATTGAGAAATCTGAGCGGCTTTTATGTGTGTTACTGTTGTGTTGCAGGCTCTCAGTCTTATAAGACAAATCATTTTCATGTAATTGCTTTCCTGTTGGTTAACCATTAAAAATGTACAGCAACATTTTAAGAGACATCAGGAGAGATTTTAAGGCGCAGCACAACACTTCATAACAATTTAGCTGCTGGGCAACAGTTGACAACAGCATCAAAACTACATGGCTCACACTTATTTGAAGGCACTACACCTCACGACTGAAAAAGGCATTGAAGAATATCACCCCACAATTTGGACACTTTCTTCAGACTGTAAAACACACCAGTTAAAATACAACAAATATTTACGGCTGCACAGGGATATTTCCACTGACAGTGTTATCAAGTTCAGTGCTAACATCATATTCTGGCATCGAACAGAAGCTAATTGGCTATTTAATAGTTAATCAAAAGAGAAACCAAGTGAGACAAATGCGATGATTAAAACACTGTCTTTGTGATGACTCCATAGAAAATAGCTAAACCAAACTGAATGCAGCAAGGACAAATGCTGTAATCCAGTTGAGTTTAAGTTTTTAAGACCTTTTTAAGACATTTCATCAGACCAGGACCGCCTGTGCAATGTCTTGTCCATGTCCATGTCTTCACAGAAAAAGACTATGGCCATGTTTTAGAATATTTATAATAATGAATGTTGTCTGGCCTTCACTGAAAATACTGCAAGGAGTCTCCTGACAATCTCATTTCATTTTATTTGTTCCGCTCATGGCAATTTTTAAACATTTCCATGAGAACAAAGAGACCTTTTTCAACTGTAACAAAGCACAGGACCAGAAGGCAACAGGTAAAGGACAAAACTTATTTTACCTGCCCCTCACTCAAAACACAAATGAACAATAACATACAAACAATAAAACTTAAAAAAAACAAAAAAAAAAACAATGTGCTTCCTCGTTGTGGATCATGTCATTATCTTCAGGACATCATGCCATGAACTAATTGCACCATAAATCAATTCAATTACAAGTTTGTGAGATCTGCATTAGGTGCCAAAAGGAAACTGTTCCGCCATGTGTCACATGTTTTCTCAAGGAAGGTCAACAAATCAAGACTGACATGTTTGACATGAGGTAATAATTGTATTGTTTCTTCAGGGCCTTAGTTAATTTATTTGTGTTTTTGTTAACAATGATTGACTGGTGTAGATATGAGGAAGTTTCTCTCTTTCTCTTTTTGTTGTACTTGGATGTGATCTGAAGGATTGTTCATTCACACCTTTATCCTTTGACTGGGTTTTAAAAATGATTGACGTATGCTGCTCAGAGGACAATTTATATCTGATTTATTTGTATGTTGGTGAAAAATGATCATTTAACTCCATACAGCTGATCTAATACCATTGTATTGGTGCATTAACTAGCCTTCTTGCTGACACTTGATACTATATTTTGAGCAGTATTGGAGGCTAATATTAATTTCACCAACATTTAGCTGAATTCAGTCTGTTCAACTTCTTAACTTTGAGGTCTAAAGGTCAAACAAAGTAAGAAGAACAACAACTCAACACAATTTGAAATATAACTAAACTTTCAGGCCCTGTTTGTGGGCCTCATAGGTGATTGGTACACATGTGGTGAAAAAACAATAATCATATAGTTGTTTTGTTGCACTCACCTGCTAAAGTTGGACACAGCGGGAAAGGTCTGCGCTGCGGAGGGGGACTCTGGGAGGATGTCGGCACATGCAATGATATCCCCTCCAACCTTCAGCACTAGAGATCTGTGCACAACTGCAAAGACAGGCAAACATAAACACATCTGTTCCACTGTGCTATATACTCTTAAATACCCTAACTTATTTAATTTGTGTGTTTACAACTCTCTACTAAAGATGACATTCATTACTTAACTCAGTCTTTCCTCTTCTGAATATGCACACATTTTCACCTGTCTCCTTTGAAAAGCAGTAATGTTACCTGAGTTGTCTCCTGTCGTCATGATGTTGCTGTCAGTCAAGAGCTGTCTCATCATCAGACTGACATTTCCATGTCGTCCAGATACCTCTCCCACAGCACAGTGCCGAGGGTTTTCTGCAGAACAGCTTGAGCTCTGAGGGACAATTTATAAATCTCAGTTTAGTTTGCCACAAATGTGCATAATCGAAATGTTTTACACAGTGGATAATGCTTGTCTTTGAGTTTTCATATTCCAAGTATTTCAAGTAAAGGAATATTTGTCTCCACTTGGATGCAAAGGCTATCTTGCTGATGTGGTTTTCATGACAAAGTTGCAGATTGCACCTTTTTATAGGGTCAGTTATGCAACTGAGCGTATCATCTATCTGTGGGAGTGATAGGGAAATGATAACAGGCTTTCAGGGTTTTACATTTGATATCCAGGGCTGTGTAAACATGATCAAATGCAAAATCTATATTGGCCAAAAACTAAAAATACTTTTAGTTTTTCAGTGATGCAGAGCAAAAAGAGAAAAATTGAAGTTAAAAAATAGATCAACAGAGTAAAAGATGAGCTCCTCTGCCCTTACACTCAGTGGCACATTGAAGGGATTGAACACTTCTCCCACACTGTTGCACTGGCCATTGGCGCCCACACGATTGCGCTTGATAGCCATGAATGCAGAAGACAGCTGGAGAGACAAAATACAAACATGAGAGAGTGCATACATTGTCTTTGAATATCTATATACTTCAGAAGTCTCATATACAGAGAGAATCCACACATATTGAAAGGCAAGGCCTCTAAGTTTAACTATTAAGGAAACTTCAATCGGTCTTTCTGTCTATGTTCCATTTTTGTAACCTTGTATTGCAAAAAAAAAAAGTTGCTTATGTTGGTTATGTGACTCTGGGAAGCAGGAAAACGATATCATACAAGAAATGCTCTCTCATGCTGACTTACCCATTACTCCTGGTTTAACGTTAGATGTCTGCTATATTAAACTTTATACCTTTCCTTTGTTAATGTTTTACTTTCAGCTTTGGCACTATAAACATGGATCCATATAAGTTTGGGGAATATTTCATCTTTCTTGTGTGGCAGTTTCATTTACAGTGCTTGAAGGTACAAACTCAGTGTTATCTTTGCGTTATTTTAAGCCAGGACCGGATTGGAGCTCTCTCTCGTTTCCTGATCAATTTCAGAGTTATTGTCCATGTCTTTTTCAGCTTAGCAGTCACTCAGCTACTCTGGTGTCTGCCTTATTATGTATCTTATTTTTTGTGGTTTCACAAGTACAAGTCCTTAATGTTGAGGCTGTTAATTGTCAAATCATTTCAAATTTTACTTTAACTGGTACAAATCATTTTTACCAAGACTCTTCTTTATGAAAATATTTGTGATAAACTGTGTGTTCAGTATAAATCTCTGCACCTACGTTTTGTCTTGTCATCTGTTGAAGGTTCACTTCCATAGTGACATCACTGCTGCCATCAGGAAACATCTGCTGGCGCTATAAAGAGAGAAAAGAAACTTCAGAAGTGAAGAATAACAGAAGAAAAAAATACACATGCACTCTGTTTCTTACATAGTAGGCAGCATAACTAGAATTTGATGTCCTCTGCTGTAAGGCTGACAAACCTGAACATAATCTGGGATGTGTGGATCCTACAAAGAATTACCACTTAAAGTATTTTTCAGGCCGTCTGACTCTCTGTGACCTAAGCAGGACAGGTAGATTTAAGGTAAGGGAGTAACCAGACTTTCATTTTATCCCTGATAATATAGCTGCTTTGGAGCTCTTATCCATAGATGCAGTACCGAGCACAGCATGAGGCCTCTGGAGGGTGGCTGACAGGCACAGCTGTTCCCTCCATGAGCTTCCCAGTTCAGACAGCTTGTGGGTTCCTCTGGCTGCAGCAGACAAAGCTAAGCTAATGTTCAGCTTCCCATAGCCGGTTGCTCCAATGTTTGTCTCATGGAGCAGTAATACGCTGTCATGTTTCTGTGGCAGCTTGGTCGCTAACAGATTAACTGGAAGGAAAACCTTGGCGTATAGATGCAAGTATAGCCTGTCTTTTGTGGCTCTTACAATGCAGGTTGGAATCTTGAAGTTTAGGGTCAGGTAATGGGTGAACCAGGATGGCACTAATGAAAAGTAAATATAAACTCTCAGAGTTTGTGAGGATGGCTTTCTTTAAAGTATGGAGTATGGTATTTTACACAACCTAGCTTTCTTTAGATGAAGTTTCTCTTCCAGTTTCTATTCAGGTCTTCAACACACACACATGCATTTGTGGAATTTGAACTGTGACCACCTGTTCACAAACCCACTAAAACATAAAGGACATCAAGCCTTAAGCAAAGTCAACAAGCTTTTTCTCTTCCTCTTAATTTTTTGTTGCAAAACCACTTTCGTTTTGCCCCTTGTTTCAAGACATTTTTTTGTTGTTTTGTACCTGTGCAATTTTCCTCATCTCTGTGAAGTAATTACTATACAAAGTGGGTTAAATCACCAGGCGTCTGGCAAAAAAGATGTAATCAGTAGCTTTTGCAATTTCAGCACTATGCCAAAGATTATTTAGTGTAATTAAGTTCAAACACTGCATGAGAAATGTTCTCTATTAATCACTGTATATCTTTTCTTGGGTTTCTGTTTTATTTCTTCTGTTGTTTCTGTTTCAAAAGGTTTCAGTAAATAACACACTAGTGTACTAAAAATAATATTCATGGGATTGTATACATTGATGATGATGCAAAATAAATACATTATTATAATAATAACTGTGAAGATGTGATTATTACTAAGACCATCTAAGTCTAATCATTGCATCCCTAGTCTATTGTTGGTACTTACCATTGTTACAGTCCCATTGACTGTGCCACTGAAAACCGCCTTAGCAATGGTCATATGGCCATCTGAATCTGTGTCAGCCATGATGTTAGCACACCGCAGTCTGTAAAGAAAACACAGAAACACACAAGTATAGAAAGCATGTCCAGCTTCAGTGAGGTAAACCTTGGAAATTTCTTTCCTCTGAAAACTTAGTTGAGTCATTCTTCTTCACAAAATAGATAGATGAGCTGTACTTTAATACAATAGAATACATGAAAAGGATATGACTCCATGTCCATGACAACCTACTCCTAATTTTGCCCTCAATAGACCAGTCAGGTCAGTTATTGTGCCAAGGAGCTTCCGAGACTGGGGCTAGTTTTACATCTATTCAACTGCAACAGCATTGGTGTCACCAAAAACTACCGCAGCTGGAATTACTCCTATTTCTTTTGTTTATTTATTTATTTATTTATTTATGGTCAATATTAAAATGTGATCCAGACAATAAGAAATGCTTTAGTTTTTAAATTCAACAGCACTGATCTGATGAGCAGAGTTTGTGGCTACAGTGATGTTGTTACAGTGCTATTTTTTCCTCTACTGGGGAAACTTTGATCGACATTCATGTCAAGTATTTCTTGATATCCCATTCTCTACTTTACTGTCACCCTCTGTCAGTTTATTTCTCTGTAATAATCACAAAGGCATGAGTTAGGGTCTCACCTTGAGCCGTTGGTATAGTGGACCACCACTGATCTTCCCACTATGCTGTGAGGTCCAGTCAATGGCATGTTTTGGTCCATGTATACAGTCTGAAGCTCATTGAGGTTAGTCAGCAACCCAAACTTCCCACTGATGTCCCCAATCTCATACTGGTCCACAGTGCCTGTTCCAGGGTCAGGGCTGTTTGATATGTTCACTCCTAATGGATTGAAGTGACCAAGGATGTTGGCATTGGAGCATGGTTCTTCACTGCCAGGTATGATGGGGAGTATGTGAACATGGTAACCCCCTGCTAAGGCATTCAGATTCATTAAGGACATGTTTATAGTTGTGGGACCTTGTGGGACAGCCTGGGAGAACTGAATCTGGCCACTTGTCATCCCAGGGCCATACCAAGTACCTAAGCTAGCCTTAGGTACTCGAGTCATTGTTACATTGGCACAAGCAATCCTTGGCCCACCTCTGCCTGCCTCATGGAGAACCACAGATCGACCGGTTATGCCTGAATCAGGCAACCAGGAAGTGACGTCAGTGAAGAAGTTTTTTCCCTCCACTTTACATGGGTTGGTGAAAAGATCAATGGTGCTGTGCTTGTTGGAGAGGTCTCCCACTTCACAAGAGAAAGGTCTGGATGGGTCACAGTCCCGGGCATAGCTGCTGTCTGTTGTGTTGACATTAAAGGGGTTCCAGTGCCCTCCTGCTGTGCTGCAGCGATTAGCATCGTTATCATTTTCTGAGCTGATGGGGTAGACGTGGACATGCCAGTTGTGGTTTTTGGTTGGTGTCATTGAGGGATCACCGTACGCTAAATCCGTAAAGATGGAAACATCAGACAAAGGGTTGTCTTTAAGTTGGGTGAACCAGATATCACCAACCACAGGGGTGTGAAAATTGGCTCTTGATACCACCACCTCACCAGGATAGCCAATACTGGCACATGCATACCTGGAACCATCTAACAGGTGAATGACAACTGAACGACCAACAATGCTGTTCTGCCCAAAAAGAGGTAGGTGGTAGTCCTTGAAAGACATTTCCACCTCGTTTTTACCTGCAAGGGACATGTGCTTGTTGCTAAGGTCACCAATCTCATACATGTCATGTGATGAACCAGGCCCATTTGGATATGTTGGGCTGCTTGTGTTTACATTGAATGGATTCAAGTGACCACCTACGTTATCATTTGAACACAGTGATGATTCAGTCATTTGGGCAAAGGGGACAGGAAACAGGTGCACATGATAAGGCCCGACTTTGTTCCTTAAGTTGGTTAGGTTCAACTTCACCTCTGTCACGTCAAATGGGGAGGGCTGGATGAAGCTGAAGTGGCCTTTGATCCCTTTCATGTCCATGACAGCGCTCACCTTCTTCCTTGCCACATTGTAAATCTTAGCACACTTGTAATTTGAATTCATACGGTACAGAAGAAAGCCATAGTTGAAGTTGGACAGATCAAGGCGAGATTTCAAAGGCATCAAGGGGGTACCAACTTTTACCACACCCAAACTCTTTAAAGCTGAGGAATCTAAGCCTTCAAGAAGAGCGGTACAGTTTGTGTCTGTGCTCATGGATCCATAGAGGGTGACATTTGACTGTGTCGCACTGGCTTCTCCTATTACAACAAGGTCTGTCAGAACCCTGGGATTGGTTTGTCCCGAGTTGAGACGGATGTAAACGTTGCCAGCGATAGGTCCATAGAATCTGGCCTGATGTGTCATGTGCATTCCACTTTGAGATACAACTGTGCACACTGTAGTGCCAGTACATGTCTCCAAAGACAGTGAGAAGTCGTCCAGGTTTGAGTATTGTTGGAAGAGCTGTGACACATTAACAGAGGAATCGGGATCTGCTTCAAAAGTGAAGACACGGTCACCGATATGTTTTGAGGAGCAGGGCTGAGCAAAATGGCCGAACTTGACTGGGAACATGCTGAGGGAGAGGTTAAGTTGACCACAAGATCCAGCACCTGTCACGTTGACAGTAGCCATCTGTGAGGTGGAGTCTAAGATCACCTTCCCTATCACGCCTCCCATGCTCAGAGGGGCCTCAAACTTAACACTGGACACAGGACCTGAAAAAGACAGTAAGGTTATAAGATTACGTAACTATTCTGGCCCACAAATATGACAATGAACAAAACTCTCAGCCATCAGTAACTATGAGTAACTATGAGTTTGTATGAGATTGGATGGTCCTGCATAACACTGAATGTACTTTGAAAAAAGTCCTTCTTGAATGTGTGTGCACATTGTGTGTTTTATTTAAGACAAAAAAACAAAACAAAACAGAGAAAGGAACAGGCAGCAAGTCCTGGTTAGGCCTTAGGGTCATAGGACAACATGAACAATAGTCCGTGTGAGACAGCTAAAAGACAGGTATGAGTCAAGAAAGTGTCACATGATAAAAAATAAAAATAAAAAAAGCCAAAATAAAATCTCTGTAAGATAAGGTTGAAGAAAGACCTTAGCTTGGATCTTGGAATAATGATCAGTTGATATGTCAATAAAATTTATCCACAACAGAAATAAATGATTTAAAGGTACATCGTCCCTACAGCTATTGTAAATGGTGTGCATCAAATTTCACACCCCCAGTGCGCAAAGATGAGAACCTTATAGCTTTTTTTTTTTAATCTCAACCAACACCCCAATGTATTTTTTCAATATACAAAATAAAATCATTGGTAACACTTTACAATAACCATAATTTATAAATGGTAAATAGATAGTTTATAATGTTTTTTAGTAATTTAAAAACAGCATATAGACAAATTATAAATGGCAAATAGATAGTTTAATCAATTTAAGTTAACAGTTACTTTTTCATTAACAAGCAATAAAATTACAATTAATCATTTTCATTAATTATAATGGACTATTTAGGGTTAAGGGTTTATACAGGGTTTTAATATTGGTTGTAAAACATCTAGATAACATTGTGTCAGAAGCAGTTTGAAAATGGTTAATATTTGGTTTATAAACCATCTATAAACATTACTGAGATAGTTATTGTAAAGTTGCAACTGATGTTTGTAATACTTTTTTTAAAATTGTAAAATGTACAATTTATTAATGGTTTTTATGCTTTTTATCATTGATGATTAAACATTAATAAACTATCTGCTTACCATTTGTAAATGGTCTATTTACCATTTATAAGATATGGTTATTGTAAAGTGTTACCAAATCATCCTTCTTTTTTTCTACAGTGAACAGTGACACGGTGCCACAGTGTGAGTTTTTCTAAGGAAATGTAAAGACACTTCCTTAGAGCACTGTCAATCATCAGGTTTGACACCTACTTCTCAGGAATGATGAATTACAACATAGAAATAGTTATTATTTATGAGATTTTTTTGCTTTTATATGATCATAAAGGGACACTAGTATTAACTTTAATCTGTTTCACTATTTTCACTTCATTCTTCTAAGTGGCTCAACATGGACCTTATCTTCATCTATAAATAAGAAAGTATGAAGCTTTGTTCTATCTGTAAGAAATGTTGCGTCAATCTGTAAAAAAATATTTAGCGGATGAACCAAAACAGAGTTCTTATAGAGCAGCCCACAACGGTCTTCATTCTGACCATGAAATGTTTTGCACTGGATTTTTTTTATGCATGCCACATCAGAGGACACACATTAATGCATTGTAAATGTCAGACACAAACCATGTAAACATCTGTCATCTAATACAGTTTGCGCAAGGTGAAAACCAGGAACAATGCCGGTCTGCAAGATGCGGCTTGGTTGATGTGAGACAGCTGCGACAGGTCCTCACACTTCAGTGACACAGAGACACATAAACCGCAGCCTGATCACACATAATCACTCAACCAGGTGAATACTGTCAAAGCGACTTATAATTACAGACAGAAAAAAATCATTTGTTTGTGACCCATCATACAGAAGGTAATGGATTCTGCTGCTTGGTAGGTGACATGATGACTAACTGGAAAACAATTCAGTTAAAGTTTGTCTTCATGGACAGATGTAGATGAATGCTCTGACTGCTTTTATGTTATGTTAGCTATGTGGCAGTTGAACTCAAAAATGCACATGCACTAAGTGGAAATGTGACTTTCAGTCTGGTTCTAGGTCATGAATAATCATATGACCCAGCTGCTCTGTAAAATATCTGATTGTTTTTGCACGACAAAACAGATACCAAGGATTTTGTCAGTTCTATTTACAGCAGACTGTGAACGCATCACAGAAAAGCAGCACATTGATTTGTCTCTGTCAATTTCAGCATGTTAAATCAGGGAATTGTGCATCCTTGGGAGTAGCTGTGATTGTAGTTGAGAGTACTTACCCAGATCTCATGTTTCTAATTACATCATTAAGATAATTGCCATGACAGAGTAGGAGTCACAGAGAGAGGATGCAACCTCAGCAAGCCAGTCTTTTAGCAATAAAACTGGGCTGGTGCTGAAACTACTGCACATTTGGTCACCAAGTTAAACATGATTAAAAAAAGATCAAATGTTAAATAATGAAACCTTTTGCGCCATTCTAATTTGTAAATGTGTACAGGCTTTCTTTTTAATCAAGGAAAATGCAATGATGAAAATCAACTCAAGAGCCTATAGACTAAAACTGTACTGAGCATCTTCTGGAGGAAAACCTGCAGATTCTCCCTCCTCCGTGTCACATGGTTTAAAACCCCAGACTTTGTCATCATAGACATTAACCGGCTGAATCCATAGTTAACTCATGACATCCCAGTCAGTCTTGTGCAACGTCAAAGAAAGCAAAAATACTCACCGAGAAGAGAAAACAGCAGGGCTGCTGTCAAAAGGCACATGTTGACAGATGTGTGCACAGCAGAGGGAGAAGATGGAATTTCAATGAAAGAAAGAAAACTTGGTCTAAAACTTCACTGAAGTCGTTCAGATCCTTGCTGAAGGTGCGTGTAAAAGAGACAAAAACAGCTCAGCCTTTACACAAGAGGTTCAGTGACAAGACGATAATGGAGTGTGCATGTGTATGTCTGAGTGTGTTCTCCAGGAACTTGTCAAGTGTGACTGCTTTTTAAAATGTGCAGTGTCCCTTGTGCTTCTCTTTTCTGCGGCAGCCTGTCTGTGTCAGCCTGTGATTGGTTAGTGGGGTGACACAGTGTCATGTATGGAGGCAAGGGAGGAGGGAGAATACTTGGCAGCCTGACTGGGTGGAGGTAGCCTGTTCCCAGCGTGGCCATGCCCAACACAAGGCAAAGAAAAACACCTGTTGGTTTTGATATTGTTCATGTTTTCCACCAACTGAAGTTTTCAGTGTGCATATAGAACATATCATCATCAATTAAATTCATGAGTATACCTTTATATTGTTAAAGCTTTTTGAGCAAATAAACTATTTTACTAACATTTAACTTGAAAGTGGCTTATCTTTTACGTTTGTTTGGCTGTCTTTGCAACCTAAAACTGAACTTTGCTCTGTGCATTGAATTGAAATATCAGGGTCTAAAATGACTCACTTGTGGCTTAATGTTTAAAAAAAAATCTGCTTTTATTTGTGGGGACACTGAAAAATGGGGACATTGAACAGCAACCACTGAAGCAAAAGCTAAAGAAAGTAATAACATAGTCTTTTTGGATATATGGTAAATAGTACACAAAATAACTAAAAATCCAGATTCTCAGTGGCTGCATGAATATTCAAGATTTTGTATAAAAAAAGTTACTGAATTACCTCGAACACAAACACATGCAGACATACACTTAGTGGAAACGCAGACTCATTCAAGGCCCATGACTAAGCTTGACGCTCAGGGTTTCATGTTTTTTTTAAAACTGGTAGTTAAGTGTTGTTTCCATGATCCTCTTTTCTTTCCTTCTTTCTATTTCTGCCTCCTTGAAATATTCCTCAGCTGTCCTTGTGACAGGGTGAAGGGACAAATAAAACAACAACAAAAAAACAAAACAAAAAAAACAAACAAAGAAAATAGTAGCTTAGTCTAAGAATAGAAGAACATTTGCCCATCATTGTGGGCTGTTTGAGGTAGGCCATGCAGCCATTTACACATATTGGAGAGCTTGTGAAGTGGGTCAAGCCCTTCACTTGCTTTGTTTAGATTACTGATTGCAGCAGGAGCTTGAAGCTTGACGTGACCATGTCACTGTGTCTGAACACACACACACACACACACACACACACACACACACACACACACACACACACACACACACACACACACACACACACACACACACACACGGGTCTACCATTTGCCCCGACAACCACACACTCACGCACACACACACACAAAGGAACAGCGATGAGGCGAAAAGACAGAGCAGAGATATTACGGTGATTGACTGGATTGAATTAAATTGATTGGTTCAAGGAGCACCACTTTGTACCAGGATTACGTATCAATTCACTTTTAGAAAAAAAAAAAAAAAGAAAACATTGTTTCCTAAGGTCACAAGGCAGACAGGATTATCAGTGTAAAAGACAAAACAATCTGCAGAATCTCGACTATGGTTAAGAGTTAAACATGCAGCATGGAGGACCATACTTTTGTTTTCATGAGGGTATCTTTTCGCAAGATAAAAATTGTGTTTTCTCACCTATGCTTCAACTGACTTACGCAGAAATGAGTCAGACTTCCTGACTTATTGCTTTATCATGCTATTATTGCATGTCCAACAAAAACATTCATGTTCAAAAGTTGGAGGCATGAGGAAATTTGCAGCAGATTGTCATGAAGGTTTGGCAGGGATGCTGAGAAAAGAAAGGCATGACTGAAAACGGAAAATTGAAATGGGGTCAGAAAGATGTATTTCAAATTCAAATCAGTTAATTAATTCACACTTTTTAAAGCCTTAATCAAAAAGTCATTTCATAGCGCTCTCTGGTTTAAATTTTGACTCTCTGTTATGTTATTTACTGAGATCAAACCCAGACTGATTAATGAGACATAATGGATCTCTATCAGCATATATAGCATTTTAACTGTGAGGCAAACGTTTCAAACACGCCAAACATTATTCTTTTTTCTTTTATTTCACTTATTCCAGTTTTTCTTTTTCATTTTGGCAGACAGAATTCCCTATAATTTATAATACTATTATAGAAAAAGCACCAAAACAACATAATAACACCAGTTATATAAATTATATGAAGACGATGATAGCTTTTAACATCAGCCAATAAAGGAAAACTATTTTGTTGCTCTAACAGAACAGGCAACTGGACTGTGTTTTTGGAGTCTTCAAGATAAACATGACCTAGATGAATGAGAATCTACATGGACTTCTCCAGAACAGCATTCTCGAAACACTGCTTCATTTCACAGAAACGGTTTGTGTTTCTTTCCGCATAACATGCCAGTCCAGATTTATTACCACTCAACTGGTAAAAATGATGAGTACACTGCACAGCATCTTTAGTAATTATAGTACTGAAGACAGCCTTTACTGGAAATAATTAGATGATAGAATTGTTATAATGATAATTGTGGAAATAATAATGGGGGTAAAAACAACTATAACACACCAAACAAATAACAAAAGTAAGAAATTATTAGGTTTATTTTCTTGTCAATCATTTTTACAGATCTTTTGTAATCTATGCAACGGCTAATAGTCCAATATTACTGCCTGTTAGTTTGTTTTTAAATAGGATTTGCACCAACATCTTATCCTCTTTCGGACCTTGCTTAATCGTAACCTGCTGAGAAACAAACTCCACCTATTGAGGTAACAATGTATTGTAATGTATTTTGTCATACAAGCTTTTCAGTGTACGAAAAAGAGAATAACCAGTATTTGCAGCTGTTAAAAAAGTGGAGTTAATGGTGAAACACCAATTTAGTCAGAAATCTGCAAAAAAATGTATGCGTCAAAAGTGTCAAAACTGAAGAACACGATGAACCAATCTGTCCTTGCATCACAGGGAACAAACAATAACTTATTGTAATTATTGTTGGCCTTTCATGACTTGGTTTAAAGGGAAACTATTCCAAGCTCTGCCAAGATAACCAATCAAGTAAGAGTGACATTTGCCTTCTGCCAAAGACATGTCAGTTATCAAATACTTTTTTGGCATCTAATAATTTCAGGTGAGGTGTGGCTGGGTGTCACCAAAAATAATTCCAGTACGAGAGAGCAGAGACAGTTTAGCTTTTCTGGGTCATCACAACCTCTGCTTGCCCCATTTATCAGCTGCTCTTTTCCTCCATGTTTGGCCTGTATTAGCACCTGAGCCATGCATCAGTTTGAAACAATATTAAATTTGACTATGGCCCAGCAAGCTGCAGTGTAAAACATAGTAGCCTATACTTTGATGAGGAGCTAATGAAGAGCACAGCTGAGTCGATGTTTCCTGTCACTAACGTCAACTCATCTTCCTGCACAACGGGTTCTCAAGTATGCTGCCCTGATTGTCCCTGGTGATTAAAACACACCTAGGCTTTATTCCCAATTACTGATATGTGTGCAATGTTTTCATTAAGTAGTTAAGATGTTTCCATAGGAACTACCAATTAGTTGTCAATTATAATGATAATTATGACCCAATTAGCTGATGTGGACAGTGAGATTTATGGTGCAGTACAATAAAATCCAGACTTCAAATGAGACCAGGTCAAAAAAGATGTTATAGAAACTGTCACTTATCTATGCAGCTAGCCGAGGAATACCAGAGTTGGGCGGTGATGTTTTTGACTCTTGACAAAAATTTTAGCTCATGACTAAAATCTTATTTCAATATTGTATACACTCAGCACTAAAGTTTATTTTCAACATTTGCTAATTCATCAGTGAGGCACTTTACTCCTTTCATTAAATAGTTAGGGTGGGCAAAGGACATGAAACCATCTGTAGTATTTCTTCATTGTGTGTCAGTATTTTGAAATACCAGGAATCTGAACCAATTGTGAACCAGATTTAAACAATCAGCGGTGTGATAAATTCTGTTCATCCATTCATTTGAGGACAATACCTTCTAAATGTGCAGTTCCTATGCCCTTAAAAGTGAAAAAAGTTAGTCTTTGCACGCATTTTCACAAACTCACAAAGACTACATTTCAAACCACTCAAGAAAATAGATCTGTAACCTTTTAATCACAACAAAAATGACAGAAAAAGAAAAATAACTCAAAGAAGAATCATCATAGCCAATCTTATGCCCCTTTCCCCACAATTGATGGCTGTTCTTGATGCTCGAATCTGCTCTTTAATGTTTCCTAGAGGTGTATTGAAGTAGTAGGTGAGTTGTGCACCAGCAGCCTGTAGGCCACTAGATGGAAGCAGTGCAGCATGCATCCATAAGAAATCCGTGGTGATAAAACACCACAAAATTTGTAACGGCAGAGGCTGTTAAAAATCTTTCATTTCTATGGCAAAAACTTTTAGATCTTGATACAGACATGCCTTATCTAGCACCACTCATAATAGGCCTCAAGGGTTTTGGGTGCAGGTCGAGCTTCTTTCATTTCATTTCAGGTATGAATTATTAACTCCCTGCAGGTTTAACTGATGCCACTATTTACACAAATTAATTTGTTGCATAAAGAAAAGTAGCCTAAATATTCCTGTTCAAAAATATTTCACCATGCCAGTGCTTTGGCTTAAAGGAGTTGATCACCATGAATAATGTAGTGAATGTAACCTGAAGCACACACCATTACATGCGTGATACACAGCATATATTTAAATGATGCAGCATATATGATAACAGCATTTGTTATCGCCGCTCGCAGCTGTGTCATCTCAGCTACCTAACGTGCCCTAATAACGGTATTTTGTTAAAAGTACACCCTAATGTACACCTCTATATTTGTCTGATCAAACTGTAAAGCAT